TCTTGATGATGTCAACGACGGACGACAACAACATAACCTCTCGTCACGTAAGACTCCCTTTTCCGTGCCGCCGCTTCCCTTTGTTGTGTTTGACCGCCACAACCAGGGGCAGAAGTTTGGCGCTTAAACAGGGTACGCCAACATGAAATAAAGGTTGTTCGGACGGCAACTAAAACACCCTGTTAGGCCGGACACCGTTCGTGATACATACAGGACGATATTGAGCCGATATTGAAGGTGTTGAAGGATTTCAAGGTTCGTTTTGTTCCCTCTTTTGTTGATATCGCCTTCTTATGGTCGTCACTACCGCAGATCCATATGCGCTGCTTCTTTGATACACAACTTTCACGACCCAACTGATCGTGTAGCAGTTCGCCTCGTACGCCTTCCAAAAGTTTTCAACGATTTAGAGGGACTCCTTTGCCCGATTAGGTCGCAACGATGGCCCATTTTGGTGAAGCTGGCTTCTGTGCACCTCTCAGTTAGACTAAGCCTGTCGTGGTTGAAAGTCCTGATGGCGCTGAGGTCTTGTTGGTGAACCGTGTTAGGAGGCTGAGCTTCGTCGAGGTCTTCGATGTTCATTGGCGGAGATAATGTCGATGGCTTGAAAGAGTGCTCGCAGGCGAAGAGAGGGTTGTGGTCGTTTGACATTCATTAACGTGAGATGAAGGGTCCCTGGTAGCCTTTGCTCAATTCGTGATCTTTCAGTAAGTGCATCTTCATTTCGCTCCTATGAAGGCGGTAGCTAATGAGTCAGTTGGCTCTCGTAGGATGAGATACGTCGACTCGAAGTTCCAACACTTTCTACCGCAGCCCGTCTACGTCTTGAAGCAACTCTCCTTAGAAGGATCAATCCGACGTTACCGCAACATCAAGTGCAATGCCGAGACTCGCAAACGAACCCCTTCCACTTGACTTACATTATGTCAAACGGATGATAACAACCTAGCCTCTGTACTGCCCTCCTTGCGGTGACGCCTCCCTTGTCTCCCATTCCTGACCCGGTTTTTGGCCACAACTCAGGGACACGAGCCATGTCCAGCCACTCTCTATGCACTACCCTCCGCCGGACTAGTGGCTCAGCCGATGCAGGCGTTATTGAGTGGCCGGTCGCAGTTGGAGGCAGTTGACCAAAAGAGTGGTGGTCACGGACGATGTGGAATGTCATTCGGATATGTGTACATTTCCAAGTCGCGTAGGCCTGCGCGCGCGTGTAAACGTCGTAGTATTTTCAATCAACCTTTCACCTTTTAACTCTAGTTAACTGGGACTCTGCACTTGCTTGAGAACGAGGTGAAAGGGGAACGGTGCCAGTTATATTCAAGCCTAAACAAACACCAACGCCCTGCCACGCCCGTCTGTCTTCCAAACCCACTAAAACGGTCAAAACCCTCCTCTTAGAGCCCCCCAACAACCCCTTTGAACTACCACAGTGCTATTAGTTGAAAAACTCCCGTCAAGGCATGTCGAAAAACGGGGGGAGAACAGTCTCAACACTCTGGATTCGAACACCTCCTAGCCGTATAGCGCAAGGCGCCTGTTCAGGAACTCTGGAAGAAACTCGCGGATTCGACGCTACCCGGAGAGAGGAGAAGAGATGGTGTGGGATTGCGCCTTGGTTCCGTTTGGGTGAGTGCTTGCGTTTGGTGCATATCGATGACGATTGTTCAAGTTGTTACATACCACTGCTAGTCGCGATGGCAATTCCGTAGAAAACGACACGTACGTCACCCTTCAAGCCCAGTGAAAACCGGCTCTGCACCGTTCCGCAGATATCGATGGCGGAGGACAAAATCGGCGAGAATCCGCACCTGACTGTGATTTTCGGCATCAACCGAACACGGACTTCTTTCCACAGCGTTACTTACTATGTTTGTTCAGGTGTTTGAAACCCATCAGGAGTTTGAAACTGCACATTATCTTGCCTTCCGCTTACCTTAGGATCTTGTAAATTTCAGGGAAGATGTATTTATGCATGAGATTTACTATTCCAAATTTTCAGAGGGAGATTCGAAGATTTGTGCTCTGGAGGCATGACTTTGTGCTTTTCATTACACCAACCAAACAAAAGTATTGGAATGTTTTCTCAGATCCCTTTGGATCGGCTAGACTGTTTATTCTGAAACTTTCCAAGTACATTTAAATTTTATTTGAAAGTCTACCTACAAATTTCTAGAGGGGGAGATGAAGTGCTCTCGGGAGGAAGGGCAAAATACCAAATTTTGCTCGCAAAACAGCTCGAAAAACGTGACATTTGCGTGACATTCGCACATCATCCATCAGCCAAATTCGTTGTTACCTAGTGTGACACGAGTTTCAATCTCCTGATATATCTGAACCCTGAGCACCGGAACGCCTCCGACAGCGAACACAACACATTTATACCAAAAAAAAGTAGATATTCGTATAGAAGAGAAAAAAGATTATTGGCTTGTTAAAAATTTAAAGAATTCAATGAAGTGGTG